TAATGTTTTTTTCTGTGTTTTGTTTTCTTTCTTTTCAGGGGCCAAACACGATTATGATCTGCATGGTCATTCTGTTAAATATCGGCCTGGCGATTGTCTTTGTTCACGTCCTTTCCTGATAGAAAGATGTCCAAGGTAAACAACTGTATACCTGTCTGCTCCATACAGTACTTGAATACAGGTGACATGGTTCTACATGCTTGTATTACATTTAGAGAACCAGAATGCAAAGACATCATGTTTTCATTTCAGAATACGGTCAAAAGTGGGCCAATTTCCTAGACAGGCATTAAGCCTAGTCATGGACTCTACAGTGAGAGATCTGTATATAACCATAATAAACTACTCAGACACTTCAAGTGTTCATGAGCATAAAAATTTGTATAAAAACCAAATTGATGGAGAAAAAAGTATTCGGACACCACAAATTAATATTATTAGTACTTTGTTGCAAAGCTTTGAGACATCCGCAGTAGGGAGTAATTAACTTTTTGCAGCATTGTGGTTCATTTTTGGCCCATTCCTCTTGGCAAACTGTTTTCAGTCGAACCAAGGTTACGGGGGTCCCCTCTGATGGACTCCCTCCCTTTCTTGGCTGATGAGATTAAATTATCTTCCAATATGTCACGATACATTGCTCTATTCATTCAGACCTTGCTGAATGACATGTAATGGATCATATACCATGTGCAGAGAAGCAGCCCCATATCATGATGCTCCCACCATCGTACTTCACTGTAGGTTTGGAATCAAAAGCACAACCCTTTTTTATTCCAAACATAATGAGCTAAATTGAGAGTTGTTGTTTTATTTCAAATTTTAGATGCACATCTTTGTGCTTCTTTTTTAGCAGAAGAGCTGTTAAAGCTGATGACTGCAGTGCTGTCTGTGTAACTGCTGGTCCTGCTGCTTTTAGGTCATCCTCCAACTCTTTTCAAGTGATGACTGGCTTCTCTGTTACCTTCCTAATCAGTCTGAAAGAAATCGTGCATGACGTACCTGCCTGGGGACCATTAGTTGTGGTTCCATGAACTTCTCATTTGCCTATTATCAAAACAGTTGTAGTGACAAGGATGTTTAAGGTCTTTGCTAAGGCTCTGTAGTTTTTCTATTTGAGTGTTTTTAACAGTGCTGTCCCTGACAGCTTTACGAAGCTCCTTCACCTTCAACATGATTGCTACTTGTTGCGTGGAATCTTCCCAACCAATGGGAATCTTTAATAATGACACCAGGTCCAATTTGCACAAGAACATGTTTATTTTTATTTTTGCATTGATTTACAGAACCTGATTTAGTTTGTATTTTTAACCTTTACATATAAGTGTAGTTTAATACAATGTCTGAATATTTCTTTATTTATGCGCATGAATACAAAAGATGTAAATTTGAAGCAGCTATAAGCACTGGAAGTATATTTAATTATCAAAAAGAAGTTTTCCCCTCATCTTTATTTTATGTGGAAAATCACCATTTAAAATCCTGTGACGTCCAGGCCTGGGCTTCCCTGTGCAGGAAACATGACCCCATGTTTTGTCATAGAAAATAATTATGCTTCATTTTGATTTTTCGGCAGACTTTTTATTCAAACCAAGACCATCTAGAGGAAAGAAAGAAGAGAGAGGAGCTGTAATGGATGCTAAGTGCTCCGTCTGAGGCTTCGCTGATGTGACACAAAGTCTCAACAAGGCCCTCTCGAGCCACTTGAAAGACTATACCTATAGAGTATGTATTTGGACTGAAGGATGCCGTATGATGAAAGTGTTTCTGTGCCTGAATGCTGGATAAGCTCAGTGAGGTCAATGAGTTTGCTGCTTTTGAGAAAGATACTTCCGCATTTAACAGTGCCAAGTACAACCCTGCTGATCCACTGACACAAACAGAATCTAAAGACAGTGGCATTTCTTCAAACTGCTACAAATGTATCGTATACACGTCATGCTCACTGGTTAAGGATTGGTTATTTGTCACTGCGTGTTCATCTGTGGAGAATAAACGGATCCACAATGCCATGAAAAAGAGTTCAACCTGTTCTCTCTGATTCAGATCATGTGAATTCACTGATGAAAAAAAGAGTCTGATCTAACCTGTTGTATGTACCGGTGTGTGCAGAAAAAATATCCATATTAGTGTGTTAATGCGCACATAATGTCTTAAAATCCTTGTGCTGCCCATAACGCCATCACTCTAGTCAGCAAACACTGAGACCAGGTTAGTTTGGCCTGACGTTTACCTGCAGTCTTCTAATGAAGAAATATAAGACATGCTCATTCAGTCCCATTCATTTGGGTCAATAATGGATTCTACATTATTTATTTATCTACTGAAATCTAAGGTTTTCAAAAGATGGGCCTGCTGATATGTATGGCAACAACGATGTGAGTATGATGGGATGTCTATAAGTGTCAGATGGTTTGCGTCATTGAGAAATGAGAAGGCTTTTCTTTCTTTCAACAGCATCTCACTTCAGATGGAGTTTCTGTTTCAGTGTCTGAACGATTTTGATCAAAACATTGTTATAAATCTTTGAGCGGATGAGGATTGTTTGGCTGAAGAATTGTACTGTGAAGACGTGACAGTTATGTAGTTTGAGCTTTTTATTGCCTGCAGTAGACATACCTTTAGTGTGTAATTACTACAGTGACGGCCTTTGAGCGTGTTCAAATCAGGAGCTGTTTTTTATGCATGGATTCCATTGTTTTGTACATTTTTAACTTATAACTACATCAACAGCATGTGTCTTCTCAAACGTTGAGAAACTCATGGAATACCGCCAACATAAACTGCTTTTTTGTTGTTTTGCCCTCTTAGAATAAGAACTGTTACCTCAGCTATGCAATGGAGCTCCAGGTCTTATAGTAGAAGGTAGTTAAATGCTATGTTTATACACACTGCCCAAGTATGTGTTTAATACTGAAAGAAAGGAGTGCTCTCAATGTTTTTTTTTAGTAGTTATGGATTGTGATGCATTCATCTAGCTGTTTGTTGTGAGTCCCGCTAACCAAAGGTATAAAAGCTCATCAGAGCTGTGTAATAGTTATGGAACAACAGCGTTAGTCTATCTTGGCTTTTGACCTGTTTTCAATGGAGTGGTTTGCCATGGCATTGTTTTGCAGAATGACCTTGCTGAGATATCTCTCATTTGAGTCCCACCCACTGTTTGCACATTATGAATGGAAGTCATGAAGAGCAAAATATTTATTTGTTGGTTTGTTTTTTTTTGTGTTAGGATTTGGACACATTCATTCATGCTTTCACCAGCTGAAGGTTGCACAGTTAAAGTATTCAGATTGGTAGCGTACGTCTTTTTCACTTCCCTTCACTTTCCCAGCCTGATGGTTTAATTAGTGCATAGTCATGTTTGTACTTTGGAAGGAAAAATGAAATCATGGCATTCAAAAGACTGAATTTCGTTCTTGTTGTGCTGAACAGTCCAGTTCATACCCACTGAATGCAAATAAATCCATTTTTCAACTGTTACACCTTCTCATATGCTTCAGCTTTCATTTGTAACCAACCTAAACTGTTCACTGTAGCTAAAAACTGGAATTCCACTGTTTTTTCAACATTTTTTCAAGTCATTCAGTGTTTTGGCATCAGTGGTGCATTTTGGAGAAACTGATGTCTGGTGACTTAAAAAAATACAATCAGATTTTAAAAGAAGTCTGTGGGTAAAACACCCTACACGTACAATTGTGTACAAAAGCTGTGGCACACATAGTCAAATCATGTGCTTTTGTTGATTTTCTACATGAAAATATACAGCGAACACACTGCTGCTCCTTTTTAATAAAGATTTAACATGCGGGTGAAAGAAAACATACAATATGACCTGAGCAAAAGTGATGGCACCCTTCTTCCATGCTAAAACCAGCAAATCAATACAAACTGTGCTCTGAAATTTGCAGAAAAATGCTAATTTAAGCTTGTTCCCTATAAAGTATGTTATCTACCATTTTTACTAAGAAAATCAACAAAACCGGGAGTGGGCTCCTATCACCACCACTGTGAACAATTCTGATTTTCTTCAGAAAACATGTTACACGTTAAACCACTCTGAATGACTTGTCAACAACTTAGCAATTTAATTGGGCAGAAAGTTTGATGAATTGGTGGAATTCCCCATATTATGATACTATATACACATACTATAACCTACTATATGATTAGGGAATTTGACAAAAGTACAACGAAAAACCTTAAATGTAACTGCTTGTTCCATCTATGGTGAAGCCAAAAGGGGGGAAACAGCACATTAAATCCACCTGTGCCACCATGATAAAGCACCCAAAGACAGGACCTGAACACTGAGCGGTTTCAAATTTTGTCTGAAAAGGGGTCTGTTTGGACCGTCTTTAATTCTATGTACCAAAAGAGCTTTCACACTTGCCTTATAAAACATTGCAACTCTTCTGCTTGCTCAGCAGCTTCATTGCAGAATTAACCCAATTGTTGTTTATTAGCCAGTTCAATGTCTGCTGGTTTCTCATCACACTTCATTGCTTGGCTGGATCCTGGATATCTGTGCTTCAATCAGTGCAGAGTATGATTCAGCACAAGTTCACAGAGAAAGGCAGGACATCCACAGCTCAATACTGCCCTCTATGGTCAACAGCTGCTCAATAGATTTCTGTGAATTTGCACCTGCCAGTATAGAAACTTCAAAGATGCCATTAAGTTCAATAGCAGCATGCAAGTGGACATGAGTACAGTCCTTTATTCAGCATTCACTGAACCGTTTTGTCTACAGCTTTATGTCCCTACAGCAGAACAGCACTAGCAAATATTTACCAAGATCAGAGGGTCACTTTTCACTTCATGGCATGTGGGAAACTATAGAACACACTGCAACTTGAAGCTTTGATCCTTTGCAAACAAAGGCTGTTAAAACAACCAATAATGTACAGTCTTAGACCATGAAATTTGCAAATTACTGCAGGAGCATTATCATTTCACAGGCAGGTGAAATTACCAACAACTGACAAATGAATCAAAACACTAGATTAAGATTTTTCCATCTTTATTTCACTTGTGGCAAGGAAAGAGCAATAAAGAATAGGAAAAACACATAAAAAGGACAAACAAAGAGTGAGAAGAATGCCAGTCATCTAATACTCCTCTCCCTCTTCCTCTCCCTCAATACTGTCAGCTCCAACCTCCTCATAATCCTTCTCCAGAGCAGCCATGTCCTCTCTGGCCTCAGAGAACTCTCCCTCCTCCATACCCTCACCAACATACCAGTGCACGAAGGCACGCTTAGCGTACATCAGATCAAACTTGTGATCCAGACGAGCCCAGGCCTCAGCAATAGCTGTGGTGTTGCTCAGCATGCACACGGCCCTCTGCACCTTGGCCAGGTCTCCACCCGGAACCACAGTGGGGGGCTGGTAGTTAATGCCAACCTTGAAACCAGTAGGACACCAGTCCACAAACTGGATGGTGCGCTTGGTCTTGATGGTGGCAATAGCAGCATTCACATCTTTGGGCACCACGTCACCACGGTACAGCAGGCAGCAGGCCATGTACTTGCCGTGACGTGGATCACATTTCACCATCTGATTGGCTGGCTCAAAGCAAGCGTTAGTGATTTCAGCCACAGAGAGCTGCTCATGGTAAGCCTTCTCTGCTGAGATCACTGGAGCGTAGGTGGCCAGTGGGAAATGGATACGGGGGTAGGGCACCAAGTTGGTCTGGAACTCAGTGAGATCAACATTGAGGGCACCATCGAATCGGAGGGAGGCAGTGATGGAGGACACAATCTGACTAATGAGCCTATTCAGGTTGGTGTAAGTAGGACGCTCAATATCAAGGTTCCTACGGCAAATGTCGTAGATAGCCTCATTGTCTACCATGAAGGCACAGTCAGAGTGCTCAAGGGTGGTGTGGGTGGTCAGGATGGAGTTGTAGGGCTCCACCACAGCAGTGGACACTTGGGGAGCTGGGTAGATGGAGAACTCCAGCTTGGACTTCTTGCCATAGTCGACAGACAGGCGCTCCATCAGCAGAGAAGTGAACCCGGAACCGGTACCACCACCAAAGCTGTGGAAGACCAGGAAACCCTGGAGGCCTGTGCACTGGTCAGCCTGGGGAGAATTTTGTATAGATTTTAGCCTGGAAATCATCAAATCGGCATCATTTTTCTCTAACTTATGCTGCTTACCAGTTTGCGGATCCTGTCCAGTACCAGGTCAATCAGCTCCTTGCCAATGGTGTAGTGACCACGAGCATAGTTGTTGGCAGCATCCTCCTTTCCTGTGATGAGCTGTTCAGGGTGGAACAGCTGGCGGTAAGTTCCACTGCGGACCTCATCTGGAGAAGGAAACCAAACAAATTAGATGAATGTACAGATTACTATAATAGCTAAAATTATACCAGTTGGATCCAAATCCTACCTATGACTGTGGGCTCCAGATCCACAAACACAGCCCTGGGGACGTGCTTTCCAGCTCCAGTCTCACTGAAGAAGGTGTTGAAGGAATCATCTCCCCCGCCAATGGTCTTGTCGCTTGGCATCTGCCCGTCCGGCTGGATGCCGTGCTCAAGACAATAGAGCTCCCAGCAGGCATTGCCAATCTGGACACCAGCCTGACCAACGTGGATGGAGATGCACTCACGCTGTGGAGGGAGAGAGAGAACATATTTTAACTGTTTTATACACACAGTACATGTGATTCTTATCCTATTAATTTGAACTCTTGTTCCTGCCTGTGCTGATTTCAGAATGGTCACATCTTTCATTCTAAGAAATTTACGGTACAAAACATTTAAGGCTGAAACCTTGCAGATGGCCTGCTAGGCATAAAAGTACCTTCACTGTAGGGTACAACCCAATGCTTCAAACCACCTGACCAAGTCAGCAACTGATAAAACAAAGCAGACTTTTTGTCTATAGATCAGAGCGATGAACAAAGAATGGAAGGAACGAGGAATGAGAGATCTATGTACTTATCACCACATCTGCTCTACATGGCTGTGGCTTGGGTGTAGTCTTGAAAAGAATCCCATCTCCATTCAACATGAATGGGAAGTTATAAAGCATGTGTCTTCGGTACCATGACGCTTGTCAAAGAGAAACATTAACAGGGAGGATCTCTGAGCTAGCAAAGCATTTTTGCTTGATGGGTGGAACTGATGGGGAGGTGGACAAAAATCATTATGTTTTGATAAATTACAGGGAAAATGAGAATTTTGTCTTAAAAATGACTTATGATGAATTGAGCTTAATAATGCAATTATTAATATTATAATTCTATCATCTGCATTTTATTGATTTTTACTGCATTTTATAGAGGTTTACATATCAGCACATATGTACATGAACAGTATTGCATATTAACATAAGACCAGAGACATGAACCAACAAGGTGAAACAGAAAAAAGGTCACCTGATTTCAGATTAACTTCCCATACAGAAGTATGAAATACTGGATATATGTGCTTAATATCTGGAACAAAAGTTTGATAGGTGTGTGAACAGATGTATAATATCTGGAGCCATAGTTATCATTTCTATATTACCTGTGTGCTTTTAAATATTAAATTATTTACATGTTTCAGTGAACAATATTTTCATTTATTTCATGTTTTAATGACTGTATTGCAGCTTTCACTTCATTAGAAAATATGTGGGTGAAGCAAAGATGCATGCCTTAAAAGTCCTATTTAAAAAAGTATGACAAATGAAATGTATTTGATATCCATTAAGCTATTTACATTTATACTCATATGTATATACTACAACGCACAAGTTTGGACAACCAAAAACCTTACATTATCTAACAGGAAGCTAGCATGAGTAATAGGTCATCCATACATAACCAATGCTTATCAAATAGTTAAATGTGGTATAAATATATTTGTGTATGTCGGTATATGAAATATGTCCAGCATTTGAAAATGACCAATTTTAAATAATGTGGCATATGTGTCATATACTGCCATATATCAGATTTCTGTATGGGATTGAAGCTAAACATCCTTGAAGGCTGCACTCAGATGTTTAACCAACAAAAAAAGTTAATAATATGCTCGTCAACTAGTGAGAACTGTCCTTCTTAGATTGCACAATCAGATGAACTTCACCACCTTAAAGTTAAGCCACCCTGACTCATTCTGACAGGATCTGAGTGTTCAGCTCAGTCATGAGAAACTTCTTAAGCTAAGATCCTGAAGCCCTGATTTAAGCCTTCTGGAATTTACCCGCCCCTCACCGACCACGTGATGCTGACTCACTTCCGCACTCGGTCCCTGAAGAGAAGCTCTCCTTCAAACTATTTAAAAGTCCATCTTATCATTTTATTCTGACGACTAACGTGAAGAGCTGTTTTATCGGTCAGTGCGACAAACTCACCTGAAAAAGCTTTTACTTTCATCAAGTTTCTTTACGCGGAGACTCTTAATTTGCTTTCACTGAACTTCATGAACCTCATGGCCATTCAGTTGAAGCGGCACATTTCTGGTGGTTTTTCCAATAAAATTTACCGAAGTATTTTCTCGTCTGCATAGCCTATGAATATTTCACCGCTATAGACTGACTTTACTCTCATTCCCGATTAGTTTTAGTGGGTAAAATTAACTGCTGCATCATCACGCTGGACGTACAGTTACACTTGACCGAGACGTTCCACACGAGGCTGAGCTCAGCTTGCTATTCGAATTTTCCCGTTCCACCTTAACTGGAGCAGCCGTTCTATTCTAGCGCCTGAAGCGTGGGGCGCCGGAATGTAACAACTGTACCATTTAAGGTGGAACGGGACAATTCGAACACGAAGCCGGCGAATACCAAGCTGACTTCAGATGTTACAGGCATTTCACCGCAGAAAGGCTAACTTTACAGTAGAGGAAAATATTTTCAAACTGTTAAGCCAGAGAACATTTAGCTATTAGCAACTTTATCAAAATGATGTTGGGTTTTAAAAAAATGTTGATCTGGCGGTGTTACCATCGCATATAAAGCGTCATACTCACCATTTTAAGATGAGGATTTAAGGTGGAAAGAAGAGGTTTAGAAGAAGGCCGTCCTTGAGTTACAACTCTCACCGTTCGACTGTAATGAGTCTGCGGTAAGAACAGAAAACGGCCAGAAACTTTGGGGTGGGCTTATTTATACCTTTTCGGGTCCATTGTCACCGAGGCGGGGATACCGCAGAGGAGGGTTCGCTTCCTGTCATTTCCCCATTGGTTTATGAACGGTACGCGACGCGCCATTGGCGTGTTTTAACTTTTGAATAATAACCGACTTTCCCTCTAAACTGGCGTGTTGTCGTAACGGACTCATTACAGCAGAGCCGAAGCGGCTCAGAGGCTTTGAACTGACTCATCAGTCTGCAGAGGAAAGAATGTCTTACCTAAGACTGGCTCAGAGAAATTAAAGGGGAACTCCAACGATTTTTCGAAATTTTTACGTAATTAAATGGTTAGCATGTAAACAAAGCCATTCAGAGTGGTTTGGTGTGAAATGCTCCGTTTTAGAGAAACCTACCGAGTCAGAATTGTTCTCAGTGGTTGTGATAGGAACCAGGCGTCCACCTCTAAAAGCTCCTTCACGAACAGTTATTACATGAAATGGTTAAGAGTACTCAGTCTGATCTCTGAGACATTGTTTTACAACAATGCTGTGATAAGCTTTTGGTTTAAAACATATTCTAATCCATTTATTTTGGTCGTCATGGTGGAGGGATACATGGAAGGTGTTCTAAGGCAAAATAGTCGCCAAACAAAAAATATTTTTTTGAGATGTACCAGTATTTTATCATCATCAATGTTCCATCTAAACCTCAGAAGACAGGTGTAAGTTCACTGGTGGTTTCGGCTAATAAACAAAATGGCGACCCCTGGTTCCTATCAGTACCACTATAAAGGAATTTTAGGCTCTACAATGAACTATTTCACACCAAACCATTCAGAATGATTTTTTTTTTTACATCTCAATCACTCATGCAAAATTTTTGAAAAATCAGTGGAATTCCCCTTTAAGAACGTCCCTTATGGAAATCTAATATAAGGCAATGGATTTCAAATATATGTATTCGTATATATAAATGTCCCTATTATGTCCAACTAATATTAGTCACATATGGACATGAAAAGTGAAAAGTAGTATAATAAAAAAGTGAAAGGAGTATAATAGCTACATAACTAAACTCCTAAAATGTGCACATTGTAAGCTATGCAATAAAATCTTTAAAACATGAAATAAATTGAAATATTGTTCACTGATATTTAAATAATGTAATATTCAAAAGCAAACAGAGAATGTTTAATAGTAACAGTCATTACTGGGGTGAAATCAACCATGTAGCAGACATATATGTATGACCTATGTATTATGCATATATGACTATTATTTGATACTTATATATATGCACACAACATATAGCCTATATGCCTGACTCTTTATGATATATGTCCACCTATGGCCATATATCAGATTTCTCTATGGGATCTCAGTGTTGCATTAATGCAGCATCACTAATTCTGAATTATGTCAACATGAGTTCTCTTTCTGCACTGACAAACTGCTGAAAGTATTCTGTGACATAAAATAGAGCTGTATAAGAAGAAGATGTTATCTTACACTCTTTTTATGGAAATATTATTTAGCTAAGCCCAGGCTGATATCAGTCCGACACAAAAGAATTATTCCGTATGTGTGACAATATTTTCATCAAACTGAGAAGATCTGAGGGTTATTTCTCAGGAGCCCAAATTTCAGCAACAGGAGAAAATGGCTCTCTCATTTAGAACACTTCTTTCCTCTGGGTTGGCTTAATGGTTAAGAATGGTTAAAGAGCACTAGTTTCCTGTAGGACACTTTTAGATCCCGTTAGGAAACCATTAAATGCATCTGGAGTCAGTCCCAGAGCACCTGATAAACCATTAGAATCCTTTACACTGTGAAATCAACCCATTAGGAAAACGCAGAATACCATTACTGACTACTGGACACAATCGAGAACCAACAGAAACTTTTATGGTTTCTATGATTCTGTGAAGACACTGAGATTGCATGACTATGACGTTCAGGCGTGCAGTTCACTATCCACAGAAATTATACTTAATATGCTTAAAGGGGAATTCCACCCATTTTTCCAAATCTCTGCATAATTCAGTCATTGAGATGTAAACAAAGTCAGAATATTTTGATGTGAAGTGGTGCACTGAAGATAAATATAGCAATTCAGATCTCTTTATAGTGAAGGAGATCAGAACCAGGGGTCACAATGTCTACAACATAGCCATTTTATTTACTATCCACACAGACGTGAGCATCACATGCATTCATATTGTTCTGTGTAATGTTGGCAAATTTAAAACACAAGTTTTTTTGGGGGGCACTATTTTGGTTTACAACACCCTCCAACCTCTTTTCCATGAATGGCTTGCAAAAAAATACTTTTCAAGCCAAAATCTTGTCTCAGAACCTTCGTAAAACAACATTTAAAGCATCTGGCAACATATTTGTAACTATTTCATGTAGCTTTTATGAGGTAGCTTTAGGGGCAATGTGAACATTTCTCACTGTATGTTTTTCCAGAATGAGACACATTAAACTGACTTTGTTTACAACTTACCAATATAATTATGAAGAAATTTTGAAGAACTGGTGGAATTCCCGTTTAACTTTCAGCATGGTGTTCCTACATTCATTAAATCAGTTCTTAAACTCTTTCAGTCTGACTCCCTTTGTGAACAGTTAGTGACACTATGGCCTCACCCCCTCTCTCCCCACCTCACCCCCTTAGTGCCCCTCTGCAGCACAACTGGATCAACTAAAATTAAAATGCGACCTTTCCAGGTAACTGTAAATGTGACCAGTGAACCTACGTGTCTTCTGATTTTTTTTTACTGTTTATTGTGTCAGTTTTACCCTACCCTGCATTTAAATCTATGCTTGAGGCCAAAACCTTATCTTAGAACTACTGCAAACAATGTCTCAGGCATCAGGCAACACATTCATAACTACTTCATGTCGTCATGTGGCTTTTAGAGGCATTAAACACTTCAAACATCTGGTTCCTATCGTTACCACTATGAACAGTTCTGGCTCAGTGGGTCTCTCTAGAATGGAGCATCAAACCACTTTGAATGTCTTTGTTAATGTCTTACCAATGTTTTAGAGCTACATTACACATTAGCTCATAGTTGCTCAATTCAGTTCACAGTGACAAAAAGTGAACCATGAGAAAATCAGGATTAACTTTTGGTTGACTTAAGGCCCTGTTAATATCAGTTTAAAACAAACAAACAAAAATAGAGACCTTGGATTCCACTGCAGCCTCTGTTAGTTGGCAGATCTGCTTTAGAAATTATTAAATCCAATGCCGATGACAGCCTGAATAGCCCAGGACAAGTCATGACAGCAGGGTGGTCTTAGAACGAATTATTATTAGTAAAATGATATTGTTGTAAGTAAAATCTTTATTCATGTAATTTTTTGTTAATTCTGAACACACGTGTATTGTTAATACTGTAGAAGCTTCTTTTCTGTTTGTGTTGAATTACAGAATATATTCCCCCAAAAAAGAAAATTAAAGACAAATAAAAGGATGAGTTTGACTGAAAGTGAGCTTTATTTCAGATGTTCACCAAATTCTTGCATACAATGTTATTTTGTTGGTCGTATGACTTCTTAATGGACATTTGTTCACTTCCTGAATTTTAGTACTCTTCTCCCTCTTCCTCTCCCTCACCCTCAATGGAGTCAACTCCAACCTCCTCATAATCCTTCTCCAGAGCAGCCATGTCCTCTCTGGCCTCAGAGAACTCTCCCTCCTCCATACCCTCACCAACATACCAGTGCACGAAGGCACGCTTAGCGTACATCAGATCAAACTTGTGATCCAGACGAGCCCAGGCCTCAGCAATAGCTGTGGTGTTGCTCAGCATGCACACGGCCCTCTGCACCTTGGCCAGGTCTCCACCCGGAACCACAGTGGGGGGCTGGTAGTTAATGCCAACCTTGAAACCAGTAGGACACCAGTCCACAAACTGGATGGTGCGCTTGGTCTTGATGGTGGCAATAGCAGCATTCACATCTTTGGGCACCACGTCACCACGGTACAGCAGGCAGCAGGCCATGTACTTGCCGTGACGTGGATCACATTTCACCATCTGATTGGCTGGCTCAAAGCAAGCGTTAGTGATTTCAGCCACAGAGAGCTGCTCATGGTAAGCCTTCTCTGCTGAGATCACTGGAGCGTAGGTGGCCAGTGGGAAATGGATACGGGGGTAGGGCACCAAGTTGGTCTGGAACTCAGTGAGATCAACATTGAGGGCACCATCAAATCGGAGGGAGGCAGTGATGGAGGACACAATCTGACCAATCAACCTATTTAAGTTGGTGTAGGTAGGACGCTCAATATCGAGGTTCCTACGGCAAATGTCGTAGATAGCTTCATTGTCTACCATGAAGGCACAGTCAGAGTGCTCAAGGGTGGTGTGGGTGGTCAGGATGGAGTTGTAGGGCTCCACCACAGCAGTGGACACCTGGGGAGCTGGGTAGATGGAGAACTCCAGCTTGGACTTCTTGCCGTAGTCAACAGACAGGCGCTCCATCAGCAGGGAAGTGAAACCGGAACCGGTACCACCACCAAAGCTGTGGAAGACCAGGAAACCCTGGAGTCCTGTGCACTGGTCAGCCTACAAAGAACAGTTTGAAGTTTGTTAGTACAAGAAAAAAATATTATATCATTTCTCAACTACTGTTCGATGATTATAGACACCCACCAGTTTGCGGATCCTGTCCAACACCAGATCAATAATTTCCTTGCCAATGGTGTAGTGACCACGAGCATAGTTGTTGGCAGCATCCTCCTTTCCTGTGATGAGCTGTTCAGGGTGGAATAGCTGGCGATACGTTCCAGTGCGGACCTCATCTGGAAACAAAGACCTTACAAATTAGATGATGGAGCAGACCACAACCAAATAACTTAATTACATTAGTAGCATAGGAATAATTTTCAATGGGGGTGAAAGAGACCTCTTTACTTTTTAAATACCAGTTTTTGTCACTCCTATGTTTTAAAAGTTAGTTAAAGATTGCAGGCAAAAGTACTAAATAGGATAAGTATAACACAGCTGACCTTGAACATGGACTGATTGATAAAAAAAAGTTGATTTGATGTAGACTACACCTCTTTTACACCACCTTCATATTGTGCCCTCTACTGCTAAAACTGAATCTCTGCCAGAAAAATTATGATCCCTAACCTACCTATGACTG